TAGATGAAATAGATCAATTCCTCATAAATCATAAAACTTAGCTAAAAAGACAGAAAATCTGAATAGTCATTACTTGTAGTTTAAAAGTTCTAGAGAAAGAAATCTCCAGGCCCAGATAGTTTACACCAGAGAATTTTCCAGGTATATAAAGAATTATGCAATCTCTTTCTGAAAGAAGACGGAACATTCTCTAACTCATTCTAGATCTGCAAACCATGGAGAAAAGTTCCAAATGGCCAGTAAATATGAAAAGTGTTCAACCTTACTGGCAATCCAGGAAATGTAAATTAAAACCACAACTCAACATAACATAACTCAACACCACCACACCTCTAGAATAGCCAAAATTATAAAATCTAACAAAACCAACTATTGTGAAGCTGTGCAGCAACTCCCGATCATGGGAGCTGACATTGAAACATGCTGGTAGCATCTATTAAAACTGAGCCCAGGCCCTCCCTGGTGGCGCAGCGGGTTAAAGCACAGCACTGAGAATCCAAAGCCACTTCCGCATGAGTTTGATTCCCGCCTGCCCCGGAGGTGACCACATGGCGTGGCAGACCTCTCCTGACCCGCCCGCTGCTCCCCTCAGCAGTGTACTTCCTCGATCTGCCTGTTCTGCTCCCCGCTCTGTCTCTGGTGAAGCCTCTCACCCTCCGCATCTCTGGCCTGTACCCCAGTTCTATATGAATAAATGAATAAATCATTAAAAAAAAAAAAAAAAACTGAGCCCAGGCCCTCCCTGGTGGCACAGCTGGTTAAAGCGCAGCACTAAGAAGCTAAAGCCACTTCCGCATGAGTTCGATTCCCGCCTGCCCCGGAGGTGACCACATGGCGAGGCAGACCTCTCCTGACCCGCCCACTGCTCCCCTCAGCAGTGTCCTTCGTAGATCTGCCTGTTCTGCTCCCCACTCTCTCTGGTGAAGCCTCTCGCCGCCCCTGAGCCTCTGGCCTGTACCCCAGTTCTGTATGCACAAATAAATAAATCTTAGGGAAAAAAAATTGAGCCCAGTGACCCAGCAATCCCACCATTAGAAGCTGCATAGCACATCCCAACGTGCACCTGTGTGTGCCAAAAGATAGAACCCAGTCACCCAAACCGCAGCAGTCCAGATATTCATCAGTAGCTGACTAGGTAAATATGCATGGACTTCTATACAGATGACTCTCTTCCAGCATTAAAAATGAATAGGGGCCCTCCCTGGTGGCACAGTGGTTAAAGCTCAGCACTAAGAAGTTAAAGCCACTTCCGCATGAGTTCGATCCCCACCTGCCCCGGAGGAGATCCACATGGCGCGGCAGACCTCTCCTGACCCGCCCACTGCTCCCCTCAGCAGTGTACTTTGTTAGTCGGCCTGTTCTGCTCCCCAGTCTGTCTCTCTAGTGAAGCCTCTTGCTGCCCCTGAGCCTCTGGCCTATACCCCAGTTCTATGTGCATAAATAAACAAATCTTTTACAAAATGAACAATAGTTATGCACACAAGAATAACATCAAATGAAAGAAGCTTTTTCGCAAAATAATACAGATGGGTGACTCCATTTATGTAAATTCAAAAACAAGCAAAAATAACCTGTGGTGGTGGAAGCCAGAATAGTGGCTTCCTGTGGGAGGCAGGGAGCAGACAGTGATTGGAAAGGAGCATAACCAGGGCTTCTGGATGTAGGAAATGCTGTTTCTTAACTTGGGTGAAGGTGATGGGTGTGTTCATTTTGAGATAATTCAATAAACCATACACATTTATGATGCATGCATTTAATATGTATTTCATGCCAATAAAGTAGTTTAAAGCATTCCTATGAATCACATGAGAATGGTTGCCCATAACAAGGCCACATAGTGGACAAAGACTGTAAAAGAATAAATAGGTAGGTGGGTGATAGCAGATGGACAGGTAGCTGGTTAGGTAGATGAAATGAGGTCTGAAATAGCTCTGGCATTTTGTTCTAACATGGATACAGGTTGCAGGTGGTTATTTAAATTTAAATTTACTCAAATTTCAGTTCCTCCATTACATCAGTCCCATTTTGAGTACTCAATAGCCACATGTAGGTAACTATAACCTACCTATTGGACAATGCAAATTTAGACCATTGACCGACAACATAGGTGGATACGGATACGATGTGAGAACCGCCTGGGTTAAAGTAAGGAACTGACCAAAGCAACACAAAATGTCAAAGAAATGAGATGATGGAAGCCGAGGGGATAGGAAACAGCAAGGAGGAAGTGCCCATGACAAAGGTTCCAGAGAAGGAGCTGGAGCCAAGGGGCAAATAGCAAGTTATTAGAGTTTAGCAAAAACAGTTTCTGTGCCAAGTTTGTGCTGGGAAGCAGAGAACAGGAATGTAAATGTAGCAAGACTCAGCTTCAAATGGCTAAAACAAAAAGGAATTAAGCAAGTGGGCAGATGTAGGAGGGATAAGAGATTAGCAACAGTTTGGTTTCTCGGCAGGTGACTCATGCAGACAGTAATGTCTGCATCCCAGCCATGGAGCTGACAGGGAGGGTCTGGAGAAGGCTGTACCAGTGGAAGGAATTGCACAGGCAGTGGCCGGAGGCCTCGGAGGGAGGTGCAAGAAAGGGAGCCCCGAGATAGCCCTGCCAAGGGTGTGGGCTCTCGCTGGAGGTGCAGGAAGCACGGGGTATTCTTGAGCAGGGGAGGATCAAGGTCAGGCCTAAGCAGGTTAGTGGGAGATCATACAAGATGGCGGAACTCCCCATGGGGAGCGCGAGCCCCTTGGAAGTTCCGAGAGCACGGGGAGTTGAGAGCAGCAGAGTGAGTTCCTGTGGCTGGCTCCGGTGCCCTCCGTCTGGAGGAGGCAGGGTGTCTTGCCCCACAGTGTGCTCCGCGCAGACCTACTGCGGCCCTGCCAGCGAGGAGCCCAGGAGGCTCACACTCACAAGAAACCTTTGTCTGGGCTCACAGCAAAGCTGTGGCAGCGGTGAGGGATGAATGTGGTTTTAATGACCATAAGGAAATGTTCCCAAAGGTTTCTGAAAATAGGCATGATGTGGAATAGGGGACAAGGTACGTAATGCCCCCCCCCCCCAGAAGAAACAAACAAACGTACACACTCCAGGAGTCCTGGAAGGAGTGAGAAGGTCCTGGGGCGTTAAACCTAGAATTTTCAGTTGTAAGTTTTCTTACCCATTCTTATTTCTGGGGACATAGGCTGCAGAAAGCAATGGCAGTTTTTGAGGGGAGTAGGTCTTTCAGGGAAGACTTCAAGGCTCTGGGGACATTGAGGACCAGAATCACCCCCTGAGGCTTTCCCTAACTCTCCGCCCCTCACCCCTCTTTCTCTAGATTCTCAACAAGCTGACATGGCTTTGGATGTCTGGGTCTGTGGTCGCTCTTTCCTCTTAGGAATCCCACAGCCCCTCTTCCCCGCGTCTTGCCCTCAGAGATCCAGCAGCCCCTTCTGGCCACCCTGACTCCTCAGGGACTTTCCCCCAAAGCGCCCACTCCCTGTGGGTCCCTGCACCTGGGAGCATTATTTCTTAGTAACTCCGGCTTTTCTGCCATCTCCTTCATGTTCCTGGTGGACTGCAGGTCCCAGGCAGTCCCGAGCCTTGTCGCTCCTTCAGGAGCCTGCCCTGGACTGGGGGCATCAGAGACCCCACCCATTCTGGGCTCCCCAGAGGCCCAGACCTCGGTGATAAGAGAGGAGTTGTCTTGGGGACAGCAGCTGCTGGGGTGTTGTCCGAGCAGTCACCCAGGCTTCGCAGCTGCTGTTTCTGCAGGAGACTCCCCGCGTAAACAGTGGGTCCCGGGCCAGGAGGAGGTGAGCAGGGCATGGGCAGGCCAGCCCCGGAGGAGCAGATTCTGTCTCAGTGGTCTCTTCCACTCCCCACGTGCAACCTAGACCCCCACACTCATCCTGAGCAGCGTCTGGGGTGGCAGGGGAACACAAAGTCACCAGTCTCTGATTAGAACAAAAAAAAAACCTCCCAGAAAACAAATAATTATCCAGGAAATGAAACCTGTGTCTGGTAGAACCAGGAAACAGAGGCCCCCTTCCTTCTCCACACACATCTCCAGCCTGGGCTCCAGCCCACCTACAGTGTTTGAGTGTTTGCCCATGCCCCCCTGGGAGCAAATGAGCCCAGTGGGATTAGCTATTGATGTTCACATTTCCCAGACCAGGAGGCTGCAAGCCATTGGGACCGGGGGTGGAGATAGTAGGTCCCAAGCCACAGGCCTGGCTCGGGACACGCAGATGCCAGCCCACTCCTGACACTGGCCGCCCCCCCACGGTGCTGGGAAACAGGATGTGGGTGGCTGGGGACCAGGGAATAGCTTATGGGGACTGGGGAATAGCCAGGACCCGGATGCAAATCTTTTGCTATTGTTCCTTGAGCCAAAGGAAGAAATCCAGCCATTGAACCAACAAACAAGACCAAATACTTCCTCCCATCCCTGCTCCCTGCCTCCTCCTGGGGGCACCCAGGCCCTCCGTTCCCCTGCTCCCCAGCTGTTTCCCTTAGGGACACCACCCGTCCAGGACTGAAGTATCCAGGACACAGCCACCAGCTGTCCTCACAACCCTCTCAGGACCCAGGTATCCAGGCTCTCCTTGTACCCTCTCCAGGCTTTCCCCTTCCTCTTGACCCTGATCAGCAGCCTCCTCCCAGAAGTTGGCACCACCTACTTGGCAGATGGCCTAGGGTGTGCCCTAAGCAGCCAAGAAACCCAGCTATATAGCTCAGCCCGGGAGCCCAGTCCCACACAGCTCCAGGGACCTACAGGTGAGAGGCTGAGGTCCCCGACTTTTGCCTCCATCCTGTCCTACCCTCCGAAGCTCACCCTTAAGCCCACTGGACATCCAGCTGCCCCCCATCCCCATACACACACTGGCCCTTGGGTCCAGCTCACCTTGGCCTCCCCACTGACCTGGGGGCCCTTGTCCCAAGACTTGGCCCTTCTGTCGGTAGGGGATGGTCTCTGGCAGAAGGGCCGCCACCTCCTCTGATGCGCTTCTCTCTCCCCACTGCAGACATGGGTTCCCTGTGGAGCTGGTGGACCCTCTGGGCTGGAGCAACCCTCCTATGGGGTAAGTCGGAACGAGATCCCATCTGCATCCTGGTTGCAGTGGGGGGGGGGGCTCTGGGCCTGGGGCAGGGCCTGTGTCCCGTCTGCAGACCCACCTCCCAATCTCAGCCCAGCCAGGCAGAGATGGGAGAAATGATCTAGGTCCTGCAGAAAAATGTGAAATTCACCAATCCTCTCTCGGTTCTGGAAAGAAGCAGATGAAAACCTTAGTCCCCAAATTTCAGTACTCCAGAACCACCGCTGACGTGATTTTCTTTTCTTTTTTTTAAAGGATTTATTTATTTATGTACACGGAACTGGGGTACAGGCCAGAGGTGCAGGGATGGTGAGAGGACTCACCAGAGTAGAGAGCAGAATAGGCAGATCAATGAAGTGCACTATTGAGAGGAGCAGTGGGTGGGCCAGGAGAGGTCTGCTGCACCACATGGGTCACACACCTCTTGCTGAAGTGGCTGCGGACAGTTTCATAGTGCTGCACTTTAAACCGTTGCGCCACCAGGGAAGGCCCTGTCTTGATTTTCTATAGCTCAGCTAAAGCTCCGATTCAGCCTTTTTCTGCCAAGGCAATGGGAGATTGCACTGAAGGCATTCTTGGAGGGGCTGGTGCCCCATTCTCCAGGGTGGCATCTGGGAGTCCAGGACTCAAGTCTCAGTAAAGCCAAAATGCTGGGCACAAGCTGGAACATCGGGGCCCTCCAGCTGCCAGTCACCATCTGTTTAGCTTGTTTTTGAAAGTTCCATTGTGCCTGGCCCCTTATTTGACAGACCCTCCTCACTCTAACCCTCTCTCTGAAACCCCGCAGTCTTCTCCCTCCCCGCCTGCCCCCTCAGCCCTGGAGAGAACCTTCCTAGTTGGGGGATTGAAAAGTGCCCGCTCCTCTCTATTTCTAGGAGGCGCTTTTGTCCACACTCCCATAACCCCCTTCTTCCCTTCATTCCCACTCCCAAACCCCACTAAGACAGGAGCCACAAAGTAGCACCTGAATCCAGCCAACTTGGCGCTTAAATCAGTTGGAGTCTAGAAAAGTGGTAAGATGTGGCATTAAAAAGAGTCACGGTGAGCCCCACAGGGACGGCGGCTGAGGCTGGTAACAGCCGCCCGCTGCTGCTGGAGCCGCACCCTGCTGGGCCCACCCGTGTCCAGAGCTCGAGCTCTTGGGGGAGCGTGTCAGCAGGGCCGGCGGGCGCCCCAGAGGGAACAGGGGAGAGGAGCACGGGGAAACCCAAGTTAGGGTGTCTAAATGTGATGCAGGCACAGGACGGAAGGGGGACTAGATGAGGGGACCCACAACTGTGTGTTCTCATCCCAGGGTTGACCCAGGAGGCCGCCGTGAGCCCCAGGGACGCCGGCGGGGCAGAGTTCCTCACGGCCTTCCTGCAGAATTACCTGGCCGGGTACAGCCGGGCCAGTCTCCACCTGTTCCTCACCAGTTTGTCAGACAAACCTGCTTCAGTCTCCATCCTCAGCCAGGCAGATGGCACCTCGCAGAAGGTCACAGTGAGGCCGGGGCAGTCGGTCCTGGCCACTATCAGCTCCAGGGCTGAGATGGTCGGCAGCAAGATCTTCAAGCACGCAGTGGTTGTCCAGTCTGACCAAGTCATCGCGGTGCAGGCTGTGAACTCTAAGCCTAACACGGCAGAGCTGACGATGCTGCAGCCTGTCCATGCTCTGGGCACTGAGTACTTCGTGCTCACGCCGCCTGGCGTCTCTACCAGGAATCTCAAGGAGTTCGCTGTGGTGGCTGGGGCCGCAGGGGCTGCAGTCAGCGTGCACCTGAAGCGGGCGCTGACGTTCCAGGGCACCTTCTACCCAGCGGGCAGTGTCTTGACTGTGACTCTGGGGCCCTACCAGGTAGCCCAGCTGCAGAGCGACTCTGACCTCTCGGGGTCAAAGGTCACAGCCAGCAACCCTGTGGCTGTCCTTTCTGGCCATTCCTGTGCCCAGAAGCACACGAACTGCAACCACGTTGTGGAGCAGCTGCTTCCCACGTCCGCCTGGGGCACCCACTACGTGGTGGCCCCGTTGGCCTCCCAGACTCGCTTTGATGTGGCCTACGTGGTGGCCAGCCAGACCACGAAGCTGACCTACAACCAGGGCGGCACCACCGGCTCTCGTGGGCTCCAGGCCGGCGACGTGATAGACTTTGAGATCCGGCCAACTCAGCCCCTCTACCTGACCGCAGACGTGGGAGTCCAAGTCCTGCTGTTCGGCACGGGCGCCACCAAGGGCAATGTGACCTATGACCCCTACCTGGTCCTGGTCCCAGATGTGGCTTCCTACTGCTCTGCCTATGTGGTCAAGAGCATGCCAGGCATTAACAGTGTGGCCCTGGTGGTGGCCCCAGCCGAGGCCGCCAGCAAGCTGATGGTGGATGAGAAGGCACTGGGGGCCAAGCTCACCTGGGCAGCCGTGCCCGGCAGCAAGTTCTCCTTCGCTGAAATAGACCTCGGCACTGCTGACACCATCCACATCGCCAAGGCCAACACCAACTTCGGGCTGCTCATCTTCGGGCTGGGCCAGGCTGTGGGCTTCGGCACAGCAGCTTCCTGTGGCCAGAGTGAGTGATGGGCATGACCTCTGACCTGTCACCCAGTGATCCCTCTGCCCTCCCTCCTACCTTCCCCCTTTGCTCCTCACCTGCTCCTCTGGCTGCCTCCTCACGGCTTACCCTCCCACCCCACTCCAGCCTCTCGCTCCCAGCCCCCAGGAGCTGAGTGCTCACACTTGGGGCCCAACCAGCCAGCAGGGGTGGTGCAGCTGCCCTTTGTTGCTGGGCTCCAGCTTGGGGGGATCCAAGGTGCTACAAGGTGCTACAAGTGAGGGACCTTGGGGGGTGGGAGGATCAAGCCAGCAGCTTCTTACCAACCAATTTGGATAGACTGTGACATCTTAGCCACTGAAAGGAAACCGTGGGAGTTGTTAACTGCCACTCCCCAACCCCTCTTGCCCCTTTGTTTAACTCAGGAGGCCTGAAAGTTTGATGGCGATGGCCACCTCGTTGGGGGGTTCCCAAAGGCACCATCGTTCATGTCTAGGACCTGGCTTAACATACCACCTCAGGCTCAGCCTATCAGGGAGTCAGCCCAGTGTGGTGTTTGAGGGCACAGATGCTCAAGTCAGACTCTGGGGTTCAAATCCCAAAGTAGATATGTGACTTCACCAGTGTGGCCTCAGTTTCCACATCTGTGAAATGGGGTTACTAAGGATTACTAAGTGAGGGTGCAGTGGGGTAGCACCACCCTTAGCGGTGTCTGGCAAGTGAGGGGACTACGGTAGAGCGAGTTGGCACTGTGAACGCCCAGAAAGCAAGAGCTTTTGAAGACTGGAAAGCAGCGGAGGAAGAGTCATTGCTGCCTGCATGGGCCCCTCCCCAAGTTAGGGCGCTAGACACTAGGGTGTCCAGCCCTAGCAGAAATGGCCCCTGCTTGTAGAGCATGGAAAACACCCTCTTCAAAGGGCTAGTTGGGGTGTGCCTGGCAGAGTGGGGAGGGGCGGGCATCACCTCCAGCCATGTGCCATCAACCCCTGGGAGCGGTTCCCAACCCTACTCATGTTCTAGCTAAAACTGACAACACCCCCTCCCCAAAGACCCCCAGGAAGAAGGTATGATCATCACCCCCATCGTGTCACACATGAGGAAACTGAGGCACAGAGAATCCGTATCTTTACCTAATCACAGCTAGTTCTTTGAGCCAGGAACCCCGCCTAGGCCACCTGGCCGCAGCGTCCTTCCCTCCCGTTGCCGTCTCTGTCTTCCTTTTTCTGCCCCTTTAACCCATTGACCTGAGCGGGAAGGAAGGGGAGGGAACAAGAAGAGAAAACCCCAACATTTCCATGACGGTGCTGCCGTGATTGAACCTTCCAGTTCATTGGGGATGAGATGTGGTTAAACGGGGGAGTCAGAGAACCTGGGCCCCGGCCCGGGGTTCCAGAGTGCACCTTCCCCCAGGGCAGGGCCCCCACCCTCTGGGAGGCCCCTGACCCTCGCCCCACCTTCCCTGCAGCGCTGGCCACCTGCGAAGGCGTGAACTGCCCCCCCTGGCACCGCTGCGCGCTGGTAGACGCAAAGCCCACGTGCGTGGCGGAGTCCGTGGCCACCTGCCGCATCCAGGGTGACCCCCACTACACCACCTTCGACGGCCTTCGCTACGACATGATGGGCACCTGCACCTACTCAATCGCCGAGCTGTGCGGCGACGACGAGTCCCTGCCTGCCTTCACCGTGGAGGCCAAGAACGAGCACCGGAGCAGCCGTCTCGTCTCCTACGTGGGCTTCGTCACCGTGCGCGCCTACAGCCACTCCGTGTCGCTGGCCCGCGGGGAGGTCGGCTTCGCCCGGGTAAGTGGCCCAAGTCCTCCTGTCCTGCTGAGCACCTGTGAACCCCAGTCGGGGGAGGAAGCAGCGCTTGCAGTGTGTGGGGGGGTGTGCAGTGTCAGCGCCCAAGCCAAGCCCTTTGCTTGGGGCACAGGGTGCGGAGAATTGGGCTGAGTGGGAGTGCTGGCTGGGGAAGGGCCGAGCCGGTGGGAGGACCTTTAAACCCCTTTGTCCAGCAGTTCTAGTTCTAAATGAGTTCTTTTATTGATAGACATTTGAATTTTATTTCAGGCTGCTCAGAGATCGGGTTAGAAGAAAAAGTTTTACCTTTTTCTAATACGGTTTTTCATGACAAAAGAAAAAAAAAAGGAAACAAAATGTCCAACAGTGAGCAATTTTGTAAGTGACCAAACACTAAATTCAATGAACACCTGCTATGTGCCGAAACAGTTTCTGCACACTGTTCGTGTATGAACGCGTTTAAAGATCTGTGAGGCCGGTGTAATGACTTGCTAACACTTTTTAGATGAGGAAACCCAGCTGCAGAGAGACAGAGGGCTTCAAGGGCTTAGTGCTGTCCTGAGTCTTTATTCTGAACCTTTCCGCTATGCTGCCCTGATCACGGGTTGCTGCTCCACAATGCAAACAAGAGCCGAGAGCAGCGACTGCCCCTTCTCTCACCGGTGGTCATGAAGGTTTTGGAACACGCAGCACAGTGAAACCACTGTACAGTGGACACCCATACCCAGTCAGTGGGAGTCAGAACATTTTACTTTTCTTGACTCATCACATATCTGCCACCTGTCCATCCCTCTGTCCTTTTAACAGCCACCTCTTATTTTTCGTGCAATTTGAACTCAGTTCCAACATCAATACATTGACCCCCCCAAATACATCAAATGCATGTATTAGCTAGTTTACATTATTTTTTGCAAGTCTTTTTGCTTACATTTGAGATAAAATTTATACCTAGTAAAATGCACATCCCCTCAAGGGTACCTATTTCACTGAGTTTTGACAAACACGTAACTCACATCTCCATTCGACTCTTTTATCACTAGAAAATTCTGTCATCCTAACTCCCAAAGGATCCCCAGGCCATGTCCTGGAGGCAACCACAGTTCCAACTTTTCCCACCATGGAATAGTCTGGCCTGTTCAAGGACTTTGTAGTTCGAGACTCAAAAGTTGTCAGAAGCCTTTTGTATGTTACATCTTCTATTCAGCAGAAAGCTTCTGAGGTTCTCCCGTGTGGCGGTGACTGATTTTTTAGTAAGTAAAACACTCACACAACTCAAAACAAAACAAAAAGCCTGTTGTGAAAGGCCTTGCCTTCAACTTCTCTTTCATCTACTTTTTCCCTCTTGCCCACGGGAAACTGCTTACTGATCTCTCGGGCATCCCCTAGGCTTTAAGGCGGCAACACAGCAGGTACACACAGGCTTCTCCCTCTGCCCTCTTTCGGCACAGGCCCGCGCTGCAAGCCCCACCCTGCCTGCGGCTGTGGGCCCTGAGCGCGGCGGGGCACAGGGCGTCTGTGCGTGTTGCAGCTGCCCGTCCTCCCTCGTAGTCCACGCAGCTCAGCGTCCTGTGGGGCAGATGCCCAGGACCTGCCTCCTTCTCCAGCGCGCAGGCAGGCCTGAGGGATCAGTAAGCAAGCTTTAAGTATGTGCGCTTGAGATCTACTGGGACTGAACACAAGGTCAGGGGACGTCAGGCCCCCTGAGATGATGCACATAATTTTGCATGTGCTGCAAAGTGTCTTGGGAAGAGGATGGCTGGCCTTCGGCAGATCCTTGCAGAGGTCAGTGACGTGCCAAAGCTTACAGCCCCTACTGGGATAGAATTTCCGCAGAAGCCGTTAGGAAAGAAGAGTTCGTGAGACAGTGACTGCAGCCGGTCTCCTTGTTTAAGATAAAAAGAGAAAAGGGTAAATGTATTCAGAGGTCAAAAAAAAATCTGGCAGGATTTATAAATGTGTACGTGTGTTTGTAGCACTATGGGTAATTTCTCTGTTCTTGCTTTTGCTCATTTGCATTTTGTACATGTTCTGGGATGAACAGATATTACGGTTTCATTTATGAATGAGATCACTGGTCTTAGGGGACAGGCAGAGCTGGACGTTGAGCCCGCGAGTGCAGGGCCCGGGCTGCCGTCTGCCACCACTGTGTCCTCAGCGCCCGAGCAGAGCTGGCCGCGGACGCTTCGCTGGCAGCGCACCTTTGCCTCATTTGCTCCCGCAGTGCCCAGTGCCGTCTGCCTCGTGCTCCTTCTGCCACACCCCATCCTCTTGGCTGAAGCAAGAATGTGTGGAGAGAATAAGAAAACGGTGCTCAGGCGGGGGGCAAAGGGCACAGGGGTCAGACACAGCCCTGTGTCCTCGCTTCCTCGGCACCTTTGCAAAGTTCCACCGCTCCCTCCTTCCTGTAGTCACCCCGCACTGACCCTGTCCAGCTCAGCTCAGCTGTCCCGGCCTCCAGGCAACCTCCCTGCCTTGCAGGCTGGGGTCTGTCCTTTGTTCAAGGCTCCCCAGGCCTCCTCGGCCTCCACTACCCCAACCCTGACCTTGGATCTGCCACTGTCTATTGACAGGGCTCTCTCCCCCAGTGCACGGGGAGCCCCCGGGAGCAGTCATGGGGCAGTCTCTGTGGCGGCTGCATCCCTAGGCTCTCTCAGCCTTGGCCCAGGCACAGAGGCTGCCCAGAGCGGAGGGGCCTTTGCTCCCTGTCAGGTCCTTGCTGTCCAGCGAGGCTGTGGAGGCCCTAAGGTTGAAGAGCCATGGAAGCCGACAAAAATCCCTGTCTTCAGGGAGCTGAGGGTCTAGTGGAGTCAGATGATAAACATGAGAAATCTGCAAATAGTTTAGAAAGTTGGAAGCAGTGGGGGGAAATTTCATCAGGAAAGTAGACCAGGGAGCAAGGAGTAGTCAAGGATCACTGAGCTGTGATGGTGACATTTGGGTGGTGCCTTTGTACGAGGCAACAGAGGACCTCGTGGGCCACGTGCACATCCCCGGGAAGGAGGGACATTTCAGACCCTGGCAGTGGCAAGAGCAAAGGGACGGTGGCGGTCACAGCAGGCAGGGACCCAAGCAGCTGAGCAGTAGAGCCAGCGGGAGGCGAGGGGTCCTCACCGCCCGCCCTCCCTGCCCCTCCCCCCTGCAGATCGACAACCAGCGCTCGCGCCTGCCGGTCTCCCTGGGGGAAGGCAAGCTGCGTGTGTACCAGAGCGGGCCGCGGGCCGTGGTGGAGCTGGATTTTGGGCTGATGGTCACCTACGACTGGGACTGCCAGCTGACGCTAAGCCTGCCCGAGAAGTTCCAGAACATGGTGTGTGGTCTGTGCGGCAACTACAACGGCAACCCCAAAGACGACTTCCTCACCCCTGACGGAGAGCAGGCTCCTAATGCCGTGGAGTTTGCTGACAGCTGGAGGCTGGGCGACGAGGACTACCTGTGTGAGAACGGCTGTGAGGACAACTGTCCCTCCTGCACCCCAGGCCAGGCCCAGCATTATGAGGGCGACCGACTCTGCGGCATGCTGACCCTGCCCAGCGGCCCCTTTGCTGTCTGCCACCATGCCCTGGACCCCAAGACCTTCCTGCAGGACTGTGTCTATGACATGTGTGTGGTCAGCGGGGACCGCTCCAACTTGTGCCGCGCCCTCAGCGCCTATGCCCAGGCCTGTCTGGAGCTTGGCATCTCCGTCGGGAACTGGAGGGGGCCAGCCAACTGCCGTGAGTGACACCGGGAGCAGGACGTGGGGGGAGGCAGGGCCATTTGCTTATGTGAACCCTCGCTGTGGTTCAGCTGCAGCTTCGCCACGCCAGGAAGACGGCCCGGCCTCGAAGGCCAGGCCCTGCCCACCGCAAGGCTGTGCTCGGAGAAGACAGTCTGCAGTGGGGTCCGCTGGGGTGGGGGAGGCACAGTGGAGACCAGGGACCGGGGGTCGACGTCCAAGGGGCTGTGGGGGACAAGAGAAGCTTCCTGAGTCAGCGAGGGGTCAAGGAAGCTTTACTGGAGAAAGAGACGCCCAGTCAGAAACCTGTAGGAGGGGAGGAACTAGGCGGAAAGTACGGAGGCAGGAGGTAGGTGCCAGGCCGGAAGAGCACGGGCAGGGCTTGGCATGAGAGTGGTCTGCAGAGCCCCCCTGCGATGTGAGGGCGCCTGCCCTGACTCCTCCACATCCTCTGGGCGAGTCCAGGCTCTGCCACCAGGGTCCAGCCACCTCCTCACGCATGTGCTCATCTACGCATTCCATAAGCACCACAAAACCTTACTGGCCCCATCGCTGAGCTGGTAGTGAGCATAGTGGGAACCAACACACCCTGTCCCTGCCCTTGTGAGGCTCCCAGAGAAATGTTCAGGAGATAGAGGTTTGGGGAGAAAGGAAGACTGCTGTAGCGAGGCTGTCTGGGAGATAGAAGGCCACGAAATTTGGCTTCGCTGCTGCTGGGTTCACTGCCCAGTAACCTCCTCCCCTGCCCCCACCAGTTCCTCAGTGTCTGGTACAAAAAGAGGGAGCAGTGTGCTCATGCCTCCACTGCTTCATTTCTGCAGCACTGACCACCATGTGGGCCGGCACTGGCCTTGGTGCTGGAATCCAGCCTTGATGGAGACAGACCAGGCCCCCACATCAGACTTGCATCCTAGCAGGAGAGACAGATAGTAAGCAGTAAACTGGAATATCTTCATAGCAAAAAAGAAGCTAAATTCTTGTAATAAGAGCAAATGGGAGGTCCAGGAAGAGGGTGCACAGGGAAGGCCTTTCTGAGGTGGTGACGTCGGAGCAGAGTCCAGACTGAGGTGTGGGAGTCAGCTAAGTGACGACAGTGAGGCTCACGGGTGGCTGCACAGATTACCTCATTTGACCTCACAGAAATTAGCTACCCCAGCTTACTAATGTGCAAACTGTAGGCACAGGGAGATTGGAATTACTGGCCCATGATCACAGAGCAAAGAAGGGGAGAGCTGGGATTTGAACCCCAGGCAATGTGGGTTTTAGCAGCCTTCTCTTAACCACATGCTGCGTGACCCGCTGAAAAGGCAGAGGGACGGCAGTACAGAGACCCTGAGGTGGACATAGGACCCCCAGGGAGAAGCCACAGCTGGAGCAGAGCGAGCCAGAGGGAGCGGGAGTGGCGACTGGGCCAGGAAGTGAATGGGGCAGACAGTGGGAGACTCCCCCAAGCACACCTTCACCCTTAGGGCGATCACCCGCAGAGGGACTTGTCTGACAAGCACAAGGGCCCTCTGGCTGCTTGGGAGGATTAGCTGCTGTGGGGACCGGAAGAGAGTGAGTGACACCAGGCAGGAAACCACCGGGTGTGCAGTGGGGCGAGGCCTTGGAGAGAGGAGACCTGAGCAGGTTCTCTCTGGATGGGCTCACTGCGACCTTCACCGATTCACTCACAGTGAGGGGCAGGGGCCAGCTCTGTCCCTGGGGGCGCGGGCCTGTAAAGCAGGCAGGGCGGACACGCCACTAGGGAGATGGGGAGGCCTTGGGGTGAGGCAGGCTCTGGAGGGGAGTCCGAGTGTGCCCTTGTAGGGGCGCCCGTCTGGGCCCCTCTGCAGTGCCTTGACCAACGCCCTCCTGCCCCGCAGCCCTCTCCTGCCCAGCCAACAGCCGCTACGAGCACTGCAGCCCGGCCTGCCCCAGCTCCTGCAACCCGACTGGCGCGCCTTCCAACTGCTCCACGCGGCCCTGTGTGGAGGGCTGCGTGTGCCTCCCTGGCTTCGTGGCCAGCGGGGACGCCTGCGTCGCCGCCTCCGCGTGCGGCTGCCTCTTCGAGAACCTCTTGCTTGCGCCTGGCGAGGCAGCGTGGGCTGACCAGAGGTGCAAGAGGCGCTGTGTCTGCGACGCCAGAACACACACGATGGTCTGCAGCGACACCCAGGGCTGTCCGGCTGGTGAGATCTGCCGCGCCCAGAACGGCCTCCTGGGTTGCTACCCCAGCAGCCCGGGGAGCTGCCAGGCCTCCGGCGACCCGCACTACTTGACCTTCGACGGCCGGCGCATAGACTTCATGGGCACCTGCACGTACCTGCTGACCGGCACCTGCGGTCCGACCGGGGCGCTGCCCGCCTTCAGGGTGCTGGTGGAGAACGAGCATCGGGGCAGCCAGACCGTGAGCTACACGCGTGCCGTGCGCGTGGAGGCCCACGGGGTGAAGGTGGAAGTGCGCCGGGAGTACCCCGGCAGAGTGCTGGTGAGTGACGCGGCGCCCGGTCAGGGAGGCGGGACAGGCCCCTGAAGCCGGGGCGGGCTCTGGGGCCCCACGGGCCGGGCCTGAGGGCAGTCCCTGTGGGCAGGGGGATGAACAGGCCCAGCCCCGAGGGCCGCCTCCCCGGCCCTGGGACCGTCATCCCTTCCGGGAAGAGCGGGGGACTGTCGGGAAAGCCAGGGCGGCAGGAGCAGACCGCTGATGGAGCCGGGGCTCTGCTGGGCCGGCCAGACGGGTCAGCTCACACAGGGCTGTGGGCAGGGCCCTAGCGCCAGGCTGAGCCAGAAGGATGGACGAGGCGGGTGACGTGCCCC